GCCTTTGGGATTAGAAAATGCAAAATGGGATATGAAAAAGGGAGTGGCACTATTCATTGGAGTTGCAACCTATAAAATTGAGAGCACATGCATTACCCCTATTTTGTTTTTTTTAATTATTCTTTAATTAATTAACATCAACTTTTGGTTGTGATTATTGTACATGTAGACAAATGGATCGTATATTATAAAAAAAAAAAGATAAGAAATATACGATCCACCACCACCGTCCCTAACGTTGGTCGTGTAGCCATTATACATATAATGGTTTTTGGTCTTCCTCTGACACAAAATAAGATCGTATAGTAGAAAGTCTACCACTTAGATACTTATATTTCATAATCTCTCTCTCTCTATATACGACTTCAACTTATGTCGCCATTTCTTTTCATTTGTGTAGGTCAAAAGTCAAAAGACTCAAAACCTAGCACTTTGATTAGTTTTACACCCACAAGATTATTACACATTTAAGAGATGCTTAAGCAATGACTTCATACCTCATAATTAAGTCGACTAACTTCCATCATGCGCCCATCATTGCACCCTTCCTTCCCAATTATTATTAGTAAAGCACCAAAATCATTGTTTTATGTGTTGTATGATTGATAAGAGTGTTACGTTTCAGAATATGAAATAACCAGGGTTTGCTTCTCTTTTTCCTTGGAGAGTGCATGATTAAAATCGCAGTTCTTGAACATTTCATCATTCAACCATCACATGCAATAGTATTTGGACTCGTTATACGAAATATATTATCCGAATTGAATAGTTTATCTATTACGTTATTTCTCTTTAATTTGTTAATACGACATTATTGGACACACGGGACATTGGTATCTAAGGTAACATGCTAATCATGGCTCTTATATCATTCCTCATTCTTTGTTTTCAGCTTATTTTTGTTGATGATTAATAATATGTGTATTTATACATCAATATTTATAAAATAATATGCTAATGGATTGTCAAAAAGAAGAAGCTATTGTGTATTTTTATTCATTCAGTCGATTTACAACAAGTAGAGTTGTATGATCAAAGTATCATGTACGAAATTCACTAGTGTAGAAGAAACCTTGAGGTATGCATGAAACATGCTACCAAGTGGCAAAAATCATTTGATAATTATATATTTCTGATTGATTGATAATTGATTTATCATGGGCCACAATTAACTCAACCGGAGTGCTATATTTAAATGATGGTTTCTATTTAAAAAATAAAGAAAACTGAAAAGAGGAATAAAAAGGTAATGTGCAACTTCTTATATAAAATGAAATGCGGAAGGGATACTTTTCCATGACCAAACACACATTCCCCCTCTCTTTCTCCTTCAACTAAAACAAAAGAATATACTTGACTTGATTTGTGTATCCATAAGGTAATATCAAAGAGAGAAGAATGAACACAACATCTTCAAAGAGCAAGAAGAAGCAAGAAGAGGTTGGTACAAGGTTTCTTGGTGTAAGAAGGAGGCCATGGGGAAGATACGCAGCTGAGATTAGAGATCCAACTACAAAGGAGCGTCACTGGCTTGGTACTTTTGATACGGCCGAGGAAGCTGCCTTGGCCTACGATAGAGCCGCTCGGTCCATGCGTGGAACTCGTGCCCGAACCAACTTTGTCTACTCAGATATGCCTCCATCTTCTTCAGTCACATCCATTGTTTCTCCTGACGA